TACTTGAACCTCTTAAAATTCACATAAAGAGCAAAAAAGCAATGAATTATTTTTTCTTCGCATTTTAAATATAGGCCTCTACCACATGCTTGAGAAGTCACTCCATGGAATTTGTGAAACAGAAAGACAAAAAAATCAAAATTACAAATCATATACAGTGATAATGCCTGTAATATGAAAGGTGACCAACATATATTAATTTCTTACCATGGTATTAGTAGTATTACCAGTAGTGCTAATACTTTTTCCAAAGGAATAACATGAAATTTTGAAAAATGCACTGGTTAGAGTGGCAGCAAGTCTGAGTAGCTCCTGTTTGTGAGTCATGTTTGAGTGTGTTTTTTTTTCCCTTTATTAATGATTGTTAATCTTTCCAATGTGATGAGTAAAGTTGTGTACACGAGGGATGATCATCTGGCTTTGAAAAGAACCACTTACGGAGTTAGACACCTGATACCGGCTAAGCTGAGGAAGCAGTTCAGAGGCTGCAGAGCAGGAGCTAAGCTAAAGGCTAGGAGGTGGAGATACAAGCCTTTCCTGCCATTGGTCCTTATGGGGAATGTCAATTCACTATTCAACAAGTGTGACGAGCTGCTGGCACTAGTGAGGAGCTGACGACTCTACAGAGAGTTCAGTTGCAAAGGCGAGCAGCAAAAACAGAGGTGGGGGATTGATCCTGCTTGTGAACAATAAATGGTGTCATCCTGGACATGTCACGGTGAAGGAAAAGATCTGCTTTTAGGATATTGAACTGTTGGTAGTGTTACTATACGTTCACACCAAAAGTGACCAGAGCTTCCAAAGCGGCGGAAGTCATTCATTTTCAATGAGAGGTTGGCGACTTGGGCGACTTGAGCGACCTGGTCGTCAGCTGCGTGCCTTGGGCGACCAAAGCGACCGGAGTGGGTCCAGAGGGGAGTTAAAACTTGTTTAACTTTATGGTAATGAGCTCTGACGCAGTTCAGCGGCAACCAGTCAGAATGCTGACATGCTTTGATGAAACGGGTCCCAGAGAACAAGCCATGTAACTTTGGTTCCTACAGCACACTTGTTCCAACAATGGATATCGAGAAATTTATTACTTACTCAGTCCTTTATAATGTGTCGCTGTTCAGTTACAGAGACCAAAATAAAAAGAATGAGGCTTGGGACTGTGTCGCGGAGGTAGTTGGTTGGTCTGGTGAGTTTTAAAGTGTGTAATGTTAGTCATAGAGGAGAGAATTGCAGGCTAATGTTGCGACGTAGCATGCAAGTCTTCCTTGCTTGGTTTGAATGGGATGACATACGTTGACTGTTTTCATTGACCAAACATAACTTTCTGTAGGCCAACTATAAGCTTTTTGACTGGACGACAGCAAGCAGCAACTACGCTGCTTTCGAGCCAGTAGTCTGCTTTGCGGCCCCTTTGAATTAACAAGCACGATTGAAGGTTGAATGATTCAAGTGATGAGCGACTAAAGCAACCAAAGCTGCCACAAATATTTTTGACACTCGTGCTTCTTGGGCGTCCGCAACAGACTTTGCCTCATTGGAAGCTTCTGGTGTGAACGCACAGTTACAACGTCTTACGTACCATAGGAGTTTTCACACATTGTTGCCATTATTGTCTACATTCCACCGCGGGCAGCAATGGGAGTGGCGTGTGACATCATTCTTGAAACTGTTGCTAGAATTCAGACCCAGCACCCTAGTGCATAGTGCATTCCTCCCATCTGACTGGGGTTGTTCAGTATGTCCCATGAGGGAAAACAAGACACTGGATTTGTTTTATGGAAATGCCAAGGACGCCTGCAGTACCTCTGCCCTACCACCACTTGGCAGATCAGATCTAAATCTGGTCTCTCTCAAGCCTACATACAAACCCTGTGTATTAAAGTTGCCTGTTACCACCTGCTCAGTCAACAAGTGGTCCCCAGAGACCAGTGAGTCTCTCAGGGACTGTTTTGAATGTACAGACTGGACTGAACTACTAGAGCCACAGGACAACATGGACATGGACAGCAGGGTTGACATTCTGATAGAATATATAAACTTCTGTCGGGACACTGTGATGCCCGTAAAGACTGTACGCTCCTTCCCCAATAATAAACCCTGGGTTAACAATAATGTCAAGCAGCTCCTCAACCAGAAAAAGCTGGCGTTCAAGAAGGGGGACAAGGAGAGGCTCAGGGAGGTTCAGCATGAGCTGAAGGGGAGACTGAGACAGGCAAAGGTGGACTACAAAAGAAAGGTGGGGAGTAAGCTGCAGCAGAACGATATCAGAGAAGAGGAGTGTGGAGGGGAATGTGGAGAATCATAGGCTATTCAACAAAAAATAGCCAGGTTATGGATGGTGATGTGTGCAAAGCCAACAACTTCAACCTGTTCTTTATGAGGTTTGATGGAGGGGGCAGTGTTCATCCTACTGTAGTGTAATGTTTACTTAAGTGTTTATACTGTACCTTTAAGATGACCTTTAAAGATACACGTTGAAGCAATGTGCTCTGTGCAACTGACAAATCACACACTGGTTTATTATTTTCTGTATTCTTATGACACACACACTCACTGAGCACTTAAGCATTGTGGTGGAGAAGTACCTAGGCATCATTTCTAAAAATAGCATGAGGATGGGCTCAGAAACACTGGTGGAAAGTTAGGGGAATTACAGCTTGTCCTGATATGACCCTAGAAGAGGCGGGGTTAGACTGCCCAGAAAAACATTACATGGTGGAACTGGCTCCAAGGGAGAAAAGGAGAGTGGGGAATACTATTATGAATGAGTGCAAGGATTAAAGCAGCCATCAGGAGGAGACAAGAGAAATGTGACACCGTTACGATCAGAGCCAAGTGGGAAGGATTAAGAAAGAGACAACTCAGCAGAAAATCTTCACAATAAATACGAGTGTGCAAACAAAGAAATTCCAGTCTTGCTCCGGAGTTTGGCTCATTGAGTTGTGTTGTGCTAATGCCTGCATGCACAATAAAACTCAGTTGCATCTGATTCTACGTGTCTCCAGTGATTTTTTACCTCTGAGTATTTGAGTTTTTGATATCTAATAGAAAACAAAGAAAGTCCGTTCGAGAAGATGGGAACGAGGTCACGAGCTTTCTGGCCCAGCTCCCGACCATTTGACTTTTGTTTCTACACTACCCCTACATCCAACTACCTCTGTCTTTTAGAGCAGACGAGGTGAGGGCAGAGTTCAGGAGACTGCATACAGGGAAAGCTGCAGGCCCAGATGGAGTGTGTCCAAGGCTCCTGAAAGACTGTGCAGCCCAGCTAGTGGAGCCCCTTCGGTGGATCTTTAACAGGAGTCTTTGAACAGGCAAAGTCCTGATGCAGTGGAAAACATCTCGTCTCATACCGGTGCCCAAAGTGGGATGCCCAACTGAGGTAAATGACTACTGACCACTGGCCGTAACATCACACATTATGAAGACCCTGGAGCGCTTGGTCCTCCATTTCCTGAAGTCCAGTTTGCCCATCAGGAGCACATGGGAGTGGAAGATGCGGTTCTTTACATGCTGCATTGGGCCTACACCTACTTGGGGGAGGATGGGATGCTGTGTGAGGATCCTTTTCCGTGACTTTTCAAGTGCGTTTAATACTATCCAGCCCCCCATACTGAGAGACCGGTTGGATGGGATGGGAGTAGATCGCTTCCTGACCTCCTGGATAATAGACTACTTAACAGAGCGGCCAGTATGTCAGGCTTGGAAGCTGTGTCTCCGGGAAGGTCAGGAGCAGCACTGGTGCTCCACAGGGAACTGCTTTAGCACCGTTCCTGTTCACACTCTACACAGCGGACTTTAAGTACAACTCAGTGTCATACATACATACGAAAAACTGACAATACAGCTATTGTGGCTTGTATCAGGAGTGATCAGGAGTGGGAATACAGGGACCTTGTGGGTGCCCTCAGGGAATGGTGCTGTAAGTGCTGTCTCCACTTGAACACAGCCAAAACCAAGGAGATGGTGGTGGATTTCAGAAGAAAGTGGTCGCCACATCAACCAGTTTCCATACAGGGGGAGGACATTGAGGTGGGGCATATCTACAGATATCTAAGGGGCCTCTTGGATGATAAGCTGGACTGGTCCCTCTACAAGAGGGACCTTAATTTTTCAGCAAACCTGATTCCAAAAATGAAATAGACTGCAAATAGGGCACCAGCTCCCATTGTGATGTCTTCAGGCTTTGTTATTTCAACTCCTTCCAAGCGCAGGGAGATGTCACTGTCTGCATTGAAGGGGTTCCCACTAACAAGCAGCACGGGTGGGAACCCCTTCAATGCAGGGGTTCCCACTAACAAGCAGCACGGGTGTAGGAGCCTTCACCACCTATAACAAGCAGGCAACAAATAGACAGTATCTGACATGAATATATTATATCTATTTTATATATATATATATTAGGGATGTAACAATATGGAAAATTTGATATCTCGATTATAGTGACCAAATTATCACGGTAAACAATAATATCGCAATATTTTTTTAAGCACTGTAAAATGTCCCAAAAATAGATACATTGAAATAACTAAATCTTGTAACTTCCTTATCATACTAAAATATTAACAGCCAAAATCTTATATTAAAATGAAACTTTCACATTAAAGGGGCAAGGGATTGGCACAGCAACAGAAAAATTGATTTTAAATGAACAAACTATGTAAACAAATTACAGGGACAAAGCTTATTTGTCTGATGCATTTTAACAGTCAGCAAAATATCTAAACAATTTATACATTATTTATTTATTAGCACGAGAGGAATAAAATATATAAAACAAAACAATGCAAGAGTAGAACAAAAAATATATAATATATAGAATAGATATCACACATGTGCAGGAGAAACCAAAAAAACCCTAAGGACAATGGTCATCATTACACAGAATAATTCACACATTAGAAGTGTGCATGTGAGTGAGAGGAGTTGTTATGGTTTAGGTAATGCCTGGACCCAAAAGCACGACTCAGGAAGCAGGTACACAGTGAATAACAAGTCTTTAATGTTCAGATGTGCAGATAAGTGCAAGGGGGAGGAGTGGAGCGTGGTCCCAGGATCCCGACGTTGTTCCGTGAAGGTACCGGTGAGTGAGAGTGTCCGTGGTGTGGCGTCCGCCACGTGGTAATGGCGGCGGTGCTGCGGCACGGCGCAGTAGGTTCCATCTTCTCGAGCGTACTCACTCCGAGGGGAAACACAGGAGAGCAGACGGCGGCAGGAAGGTCCACAGGCAGGCAGTGAAGAAGCACACACGAGATCACAAAGCAAGCACAGCAATCTGAGTTGAGACGGAAGAAACACAGAGGCATTAGCTACACAAGCTAGTGAAGCACGAGGATCATGACAGGAGTGCCTGTATGAGAAAAGGAGTGCATGTTCTCGTGTGTGTGTGTGTGTGTGTGTGTGTGTGTGTGTTAGGTCAAGACGGTGAGCAGTGAATTTAATTAACCTTATAAAACCGAGAGCCCCCATTAAGGCTCTCGGTTTTATAAGGTTAACACGGCAGCGTTTTATTTTGTTTCCTTGAGCTTATGTAGAGAAAGCATAACTGGCTATTTTTATCGATTCTAGCTCGCCATACAATAACCATAATCATAGTGATTCAATCATAGTTGATCTCAATTAGCGTTACGTTACGTCGGTTTATATTCTGTCAGCTCCGCTCAGTGTTTTCAGCTCCGTTTCGTTTTAAAACACTTAACGTTAGCAACATAGCTGCTAATACGGCTATTTGCTACTTAGCTAGTATTAGCTCCTAAGTGTCTTAAACGAAAACGGAAAATCTAGTCGCCGTTTAGAAGGACAGATACGGCTCAAATGTCCTGTATACGTCGAGAGGTACACATTATGACAATCTTAGTAAAGTCCCTCACACAATAACTGACGTTTGCATAGCATAACTTGCATCGGCTGTAAAGCTGTGGATGATGGTCACGGAGATGAGCCAGCAGATTTGTAGTGTTGCTACCCTTCGCAGCAACTTTCTTTCTGCATGTTCTGCACACAGGATAGTTGTCCTCCACCAGCTGTCCCTCAGCATTCTTCAGAAACCCAAAGTACACCCAGACCTCAGATTTTTTGCGTTTAGTTGGGGGGGAAATGTCCTGAATGCCTTCCGCCGTGTTTTCATTTTGTGTTTACACGTGCTAAGCATTCACGCAGCGCCTGCATCGCAAGACTTGAATGAGGCTGGTATTACATATCCTGATAATCCACCGCGATAATGCAATTGATTTCAACATAAACAGTAATTCTTACCGTGTAAAAATTAACCAAGATTTACCGTAATATCGGTAATCGTTACATCCCTAATACATATATATATATATAATTACAATGTGGTGTTCAAGCATTCTTGGTTTTATTCAACTGCAAGTGGCAGCTTAAATGCTGTGTCTATTGCATATTATGTAGTCTGATATGTAGGTTAATTAGGCATTAATTAGATATCAAGTTCTACATAATGACATTATTTTGCTGTTAAGTCGTAAAGTGCTGGTGGTAAGCATAAGGTTTAAAGGTAGTTGCACACGTGTAATGTGGAAATCCTGTGTGTGCCACTGAACAATTCACATAATGCTATTAGAAATGTAACCTTTGTTCAGTCTACCTTTTGATATAAGAAAATAATATTTGATATATTACATTTTTCACTTGTTTTGATTTGCTCAAAAAGAACAAAACATACCATTTTATACCCAAAACCACATGTTTACAGATGTCTGTCGTTTATTAGTCAAGCATTTGGAGGGTGAACAGAAATTCATTAGTACCATCATGACCATTGGAAATTGTGGGATTCTCTTTTGCTTATGATAGTCTTGCATATTGATGAGCTCCCCATAGGTGGTTTTTCCTCACATGGTTCCTCAGTGCCCTGCCATGTTACTATACTGACGGTTACTGTAGTGTGTGTGTGTGTGTGTGTGTGTGTGTGTGTGTGTGTGTGTGCGTGCGCCGGTGTGCATGTGAGTGCGTGGGTCTATGTGTGTGTGGGGGGGAGGGGGCGGGTTTTCAATATGTGTTGTAATTCTGTTGCATGTTTTTTATTTTGTGAAGCACTTTGTGTTGCATTTTTAATGTATGAAAAGTGCTATATAAATAAAGTTTGATTCGATTTGATTTATTATGCACTGTATGTTTGTCGTACTTTGTTTGACTTAATGGAACTCTGGAGTGTATTACTTCTTTGGTGTGGTTCATTCTGATAGGTGAGGATGTCCTATCTATCCCAGATGCACACTGAATATCAAAAGCTAGGCCTGCCTTAAAGATGTGATATTGGAGCAAGTGAACATCCAAGTATAGCAAATGAGATTATTAAAGTGAGAAGGCCATCTAAGACTTCAAGCACCAATTTTCTCATATCATCCTTGCAACCCTTGTGAAAGAATATACAGGTGTATCTCGATGAATTAGAATATCCTGAAAAAGGCCAGTAATTTTTGTCGGTTATTTTAGAAGGTGAAAAAATAAATATATAAAAATATTTTCAGACACCATTAAAAATATTTAGATATAAATATATATGTTTTTACTTTCTGAAATAACTGACAAAAAAATACTGAACATTTTCACAATATTCTAATTTATCAAGATGCACCTGTACTTATGTTGCTTATAGCTTATGTTGTGCAATTTTCAAATTTAAGTTTAGAAGAATTAGTCAACACATCTGATATGGAAGTTACCTTATGTTGACCATGCAATGTTATAAAACAAAATGAGAAATAAGTTCCATCTTAAGACTATCATAAGCAAAAGAAAATCCCACAATTTCCAGTAGGCATAATGAACCACACCAAAGAAGTAATACACACCAGAGTTCCATCGAAATAAAGAAAACATGACAGGCATATAAGAGCCCTAGCTATGAATGACTGGTGGTGCTCTTACCTTGTCAATTGCGCACAGCCTGTTGGAATCCTCACTGAAGAGGTGAGGGAGCAGCAGCATTGCAGCACTTACTTTGATGCCTAAATTTGAAAAAACTTTTCAGTCAGTTTTATAGCAATGATGGCTAAACTTATTTGAAAAACCTCAAATAAATACCTTTGTGTGTCTCCACGCAGTCCTGGCTCAGTGTACTCTGGTACATGTGTAGGATATCTTCACCCAGGTTCCTTCTCCTGACCTCTGTAATGATTTTGTCAGCTGCTCTCCCAAAGCCCTCCAGCAAGAGTTTGTCCACATCCACTTTATGAATGTGTTCCATTTCAGAGAAAATCTAAAAGATAATTATTTCCATAGATTACAGATTTGTCTGAACGAGTAACCTATTAAAAGTTGAACTTAAGTAGATTAGCTCCATGCGGGGTTTGAACTCACAATGCTGATATGCTGTAAAGCTGGGAACTCCTGAAGAACATCACTGGTGGAGTGGCTTTGAATGAAGTGTTCTCTTTCTGCAAATGTCCTCTTCATTTTCCCCTTCAGCATGTCCATATTTGGATGGGCCTTTTTACACTCCTCTTTAATTTTTGCGACGTGCAGCTCTACACTATAGCCGTCTTCAAATCCCTGTAAATTTTTATATGACATAACATAGAAAAAGTGGTTAAAAACAGTGAATATGCATAATTTGAAAACTTACACTGGCAATGACGAAGGTGTGGCCGAGAGCATCTCCATCCTTGCCAGCAGGTGTCTAGTCGAACAGAAAAATTAAAATGTAATCATTCATTAAATTAGAAACAGTATTTATTCAGGCATACCAAAGGTTATTATAATGTAAAGTAAATGCAAATGTAGCACACAGTCCTAAACTTTCTGTTCTGTTTTCACAGATAAATTCTCAACATTGCCTGAGCCTCTGGTTTGTAGCTTACAGTACACTTGTAGGAAATATTGATTGTTACATAATTTATAATTTATTCTGTGGCAGCATTTATTAAATAAATGCTCGCCGACATTCTCCACCATTTTGTATGAAAAGTTTGATTGTTATGATTCATTTAGGGTTTGCATTCTCCACCATTACATATGTAAGATTTGTTTGATTATAAACAGTTTATTCAGGTGCCTACGTTTTTCATCATGAATACTGTAGGGTTTGATTAGCTCAATATTAGGAAAAAGTGACGTTAATAAGACTTATTAAACATAACCACTTTAATTATTCGTCCAGCGATATAATTTCATAGTCAGACTAATAAAACCACACCTCTTGTTGATCAGACAAGAATGTTTAACGCACTTTGGGGAAATTATTAATTATCAATTGTCAATTCAAATAGAGCTCAAATAGCCAGGATCTTTGCACCCATAAAGTGACTGAATGTAATCCTACAGAAAACCAAGACAACGACTTTATAGACAAACATTTATTCTAAACTACTGACACAGGAGACCAAGACACAATACAACTAACAACAGACAAGACAATGAGTAAATGCAACTATGAGTGGAATGAAATGAATACAGCGATGTTAATGAATGAATGAATGAATGACCAGAGTGAACCAGATGAAGCAGTGATTAATGGTGAGATAATTATCAGAGGAAACTTTAACATGGACCTGTGAAAAGCACCATTCAACAGCTGAGAGGCATGGGAAGCAAAAAAAAAGAAACATCTGAAAACTTAGGGGAAATCCTAGTTTTATCTAATGCTCCCTACCATACCTATTAAACTACGCATCAAACCCCAGCACAGGAAAATTATGTTGTTTCACCTGAGTTGTAGCAGACCAGAAAGAAGATGCTCTGGAGGGGGAAGAGGAAAAAGCAGCGCTGCTCCTTGGTGTGAACCGCTCCTGGTGCTGTCCCACAGAGCAGCCTGCTCAGCTGGTCCTTCTCTTCTCCTCAGTCGAACTCCTTGGAGCCTTTGGGCACTTTTGGGCGTTCTTGAACCCACATGGCAACTTTGGCTTGGGTGAGCTTGGCTCTCCAGGTCAGTCATCTTCACACACCCAGTGTGGGCATGCAGGAGTCTGCCTCTCTTCAGTCCTGACCTTTTTGGTCCAGGACGCAGTTGTTAGGCAGACCTTGTGGCATAAAATTCTTTCTGTTGGGATTTAGCATGTTCAGTTCTGCTCAGGATGCAATCAAATTGCCCAGCGGGGCCATGTTGGATGGGGCCCAGCATGGCCCACCGGCTTCTCAAAAGTTCTTCTTCAAGTTCTTCTTTTTCTTTAACTTCTTTAACTTTTTTACTCATGAGACAAAAAGTCTCTTCTCATCTTATAGTTGTTCAGAGGGGTTGAGACTGGCAGGCAGGCTCCGGCCTCTGCGCTGTGATTGGCCTTGCCAGCTGTCTGCCTCCAGCTGATGTCCAGT